GCATTTGAAATTATTAATATGCTAAGGTAATTGATTATTATATAACAATTCTCGCTCCCGCGCTCTAATCATTAGTGGGCTGGAGTAGGCATTCGTGAGCATGTCTCGATTTTTAACATAGATGTATATACCACATACGCCCCACAGTACACTGCACTGACGTATTGTCTAGCTTACGCATTGATCTCGGTTCGCATTGATACAATCATGATACGCACGCCACCGAGAAACAACCCTGTAGTACATGATTCACAACTGTTGATCAACATCTGCCACGGCTTGCGTTGCACATATGCTTGGCCTGCCTGCGCGTATACAAACCGCCCGCTCCGCACGAACACAGCTCTGCTCGACATAGTAAATTAGCTACACTCCAAGCGCTGCGCACTCGCCGCTCTCCGCACCTTGCCTCAGCATCCCGCGCTGCCGCCCTATAAACGCTTGACAACCCCGCCTCATCACACAACCGACGTATCCCGCCGACCTATGCGGACCGATTTTTTTTTCTTACCTAATCCGGCGGGATACCCAGAGCCACTTTGAAATCTGGGATCGCCGCACAAGAATTCTGGTATCCCTGCCCGAGTATCGGGGCCCCAGAGATACCGCTACTTTCGACCCTGCTAAGTGCTCGGGACGCCGCCAATGCCGGCAGCGTCGTGTTTACAGTTGTATGTTCAATGTGCCTGTGCGCATTACGAACGTCGAAGAAGGGACCGAGAAACAATCAGTTGAAATTGAGCCAAAACCAACTCTCAATTCATTGATACGTTTCTTCTAGCAAAGACCACCTCGCACCCAGAGACGGTAAATTAAGATATTGGGCCGCGATTAATTGTGAAGAATAGAGAAGATCACAACCTTTATTAAACTAGACCGGGCTCTGAATGAAAAGCTTTGTGGGCGCCAGAAGCTTTTTTATTTTTTAATTCGGTCAAGGAAGAGAACCCTTAGACAGAAACACTTGGGGCCGCCGACGTGCGCTGCTGAGTCGAACTTTGAAGTTGAGAGAGGGCCGGAGTTCAGCCTTGATGCGCAAGAATTGCATACCAAGGGTACGCTAGGTGCCGTCCACCGATATTTATGCAAACGTAATCCGTCGTGTGTCCTACATTGCACTAACATTCTCGATTGTGGCCAGCTTATTCCAGTCTGGTAACCCGGCGGACAGTTTTCAGATCGCTGGTTTCAATCGCCGAACTAATCAACACCGTTATTGGCGCCAGATGAAACGTTTTGCCATGAGGTAATACCTATCAGCTCCCATCAGTCATGAAGAGGTTTTCCCGGTGATTGACCCAACTCGGTCCGATGCCACGGGCGCCGCCCTGTGACTGGCTCCCATTTCAGTGAAGTTTTGAAATATACGTACATTATATATCTATATGATAATCTCTATTTCTTAGGAGAGATCCGCCGGCCGTGATAGATTTTATCATAAAAATCTCTCTATTCTGGAATACCTGCTCTCTCATATTAAAAAGCATCACATCGTTTGCAAATATTCATTCCCTCGAGAGATATTGCGCTATGCGCGTTGCTCAGTACGGAACTGGACGCAATACGGAAACAAAGACGTGGATATAGTGTTGTGCCCATATGCCCACTCCAAAACAACGCCTAGAACTCTGCCGTGCCGGTGCAGGTGTACGTTCAGCGCACACAGAACTCACGCTCACAATACTCGTGGAAAGTTCACTGAGAAATGGAATGCCATACAAAGCACCTACAGCCTTGCTAGTCAGAACAAAAAGGCCTGCAGTGCATGTTAACCATAGGGCCTATCATTGCAACGCAACGAGCTAACACTGAGTGCCAAAAACGCCTAACCCTAACCCTAAACCCGTCAACCCATTCCCTATCCCTAACCTAACCCTAAACCCTATCCTAACCTAAAACCCTAACCCTACACCCTAACTCGCTACACCTAACCCTACGCCCGAACCCTAATAAATTTAATTAACACTAATACTAACACTAACACTAACACAAAAAAAGTTAAATGGGCGATAACAGGATAGAACAAACTAGGAAAATAATAAATATTAAACAGATGCGGATGTCGAACGCACATCACCTCAAGAAGAATCGCTGTCTCGGGCCGGTCTTAACCCGCTGCGCTCACTTTGGTTCGCTCAGCAATGAAGTGTATTATCGTGTATGGTTGATACGCAGAGCGGTAAATACTGCCTCCACTCAGATGAGTGCAATACCGGCGGATGGATGTGCGGTGACGTGATTGGTCTAGGCCACTGACGTCCACTGACGCGAGACGGCGTCATCATCACTCGAAACACTCACACAATGTGCACGATCCAGTCCGGGCCGCCGGTCAGTGTGCAACAGGCTTAAGATGGTAAAACTGGGGTATACCTCCCACCCCTCAGAAAATAAGCGGCACCCCGGCAGCTTGATGCGAATAGCTATGATTAATGAGCACTCATAGTGTACGATCGTAGGAGAACACTTCAGGCATATGCAACGCTTAACTGATATGGGAACTTAAGAGAAGAAAAAACCACTAAGCCGGCCTGAGAACCGACTCTAATAAGCATAATCATAGACAAATCCTAGAACCTAATAACACTGAAAAACATCAAGCGCCTAAAAAAATGAAAATGCAAAAAAAAATCGTTAACATATTAAGAATTAACGCCAGCGTTGGACGCGCCCTCACGCAGCTACGTCATTAATCAACTATCGCAATCAACATGCCCGGAGTACTAGCCCCGGAAGAAAACCTCGCCCGCATAAACTAAGATAACTTAGCCCTTGAGGGACAGTGCACCGGAGTGAAACCGAACGAAGGTGATAGGAAGGTCGCAACGGCCAACTGATGCGAGAGATCATAAATGCGAGCGGAGCCAGCGCACTGGCACTTGGGAGCGAAGACAATCGCATGGTAGCCGTAAAAAGCGAGTAAGACAGAGGCGAACAAGGTATGACCATAAAAGAAAAATAAACTCCTGGTACTGCGCAGAGAATGAGCGAAAGTGACCAGTAATTAAAAATAGAGTAGATACTGAGAGGAGGAAGAATAGCAGGCGGGACGAGAACCGGCGCGCGGAGTAGCACAATGGACATAAGAGGAACCCATACACGCGAGGCAATTGGAGCAAAGACAGGCCAAGACGTGCGACGCCGGAGGGCTGTGAAGTGGGCATTTCTTAGGTGAAAGCCGCCCTCGCCAGGCGCAACTCACCACACATAGCGCGCCGTGGTTCTGCCTTTATTATATATATAAAATTCACAGGTTGGTTCTAATCGGATAATAATTTATTCTTAATGATAAAAAAGATGACTTTCATCTAATGTGAGCTACATCAAGTGAAGGAGACCGGATGACTGCCACATACAGAAACGAGCAACTAATACCAGCATATTCATATCCAAGATATAAACTCTCTCGGCAGCGGTCTGAGCTAGACTGTCTAGCGTATGTGCAGGGACCGCGCTGAACATCTACAGCTAACCAACATCGCTGGCCTCAAGAATGGGAATGAAACGGAACTACCAGCCACGGGTCGGCGCACTCAAACCCCCCACAGATTAACCGGGGAAACCAAACAAAGCCTTGCCAGAAAGGCCCCAACAGACTGGAAAAAATAGTAAACGTCACCTAAGAGGTGTATCAAGTATGAACGAATGCGCGACATCTCACAGAACGAGAAAAGGTACCAATGCAAGAAAGATGGTGCTTTCTCCATGGAAGTTCTAAAAGAGCACGATACTGCCTGACTGGAATGTATCAATATGTAAGTAGATAGAGATCACAAGTGCTAAGAGAAAGGTACCTGCTCTTGGTAATATTAATGCGATTCATCTTTGCAAAAATATTATTGCCGATTTGGAAAGTAGATTGCGCAACATAAAGAAAAAAAGAACAAATAAATGCAGAACAGAAAAAAAGAGACACCGAATAGATTCAAGACGGATCGGAAAGAGGAGAAAAAAAAAGAGGTGAAGCTAGACCGGGAATGAAGAAAACTGCCAGTATATGAACTTGCTGAGGGGAAGTGAGGGGTGGGAGACTAGAGGAAAGG